TCCGTCGGCAAAAAAATTTTCCATTAACTATGCTTTTGTCAATCTGGGAAACAGCAAAAATATCCCGACAATTTTTAAATTAAAGTCTGGAAAGTTTTTAACATCTGACAGCTATTCTACGAAATATTAAAAATATATCTCCGTTGGAAAATTTTTCATCAACATACAAAGATACGGGAAAATTCTACGCCTAAATAAAGTAATGATAATACTTTTTTAATCTCCCTGTTGTTTTGCTTATGTATTACTAAAAGTTATATGAAAATACCTTTTTATTTTGTTGCATTTAAATATAATTTATCATCTTTTCTGATCAATTCCATTTTTCATCAGCTAAATTGTGGGTTAGTGATTAGAAGAAATCGATATCGGAATGATAATAATAACAATGTATAGGATAAGGATCCAGTAGGGCGTTTTTATATTTGTGAGTATATTTACAGTCACCAAGTTAATACGTTATTAGGTATATGCGTCACAAATTCCCAAAAGAATTCAAGAATGCAACTTAATGTCAGCTCAGGAAAGTGTTGAAGGAATACTTGTGTGTATTCTAAAAATTAAAAAATTTAGGATACTCGCACAGGAAGGCAAGAATATTTTAATTAATTTGGTGTTGCACTGCAATTAAATGCGACAGTACCTATGTGCTGCTATGAAATGCAAATCGTCTGAAATTTTAGAGCGCTACAAATTAGGACTAGATGTGAGTGGTATTTACTTAAACAAGAGGCTTTGAACTTATTTAAAAATTTATTTACTGCTTTTCCATTTTCCCCTCCTTATGATTAAATGAAATCAAAGCCAAAATGGGATTAAAAGCTATTATTTTTTTAAAACAACCGCTAATACAAAGCAGATGGAATTTCTTTTTTGGAAAAGTATGTATTGGTTAACAAACCAACATAACTCAGTAACGTATAAATAAAAACAAATATAGCAGCAAACAGCTGAGTTATTGTGGTTTGTTCTATCTTCTTTACATTCATTATTGACTTTAAGACTAGTCTTGGAAAAGCTTGATAACTTAAAGCGAAAGGCGGTTGCTTTTTAAAAAACTAATACTTTTAACTCCTTTTAGCTTTGATTAAACTTATTTAAAAATGGTAGCATTGCGAAGGAAGTTAACATAAAGCACTTAAAAGTTGAACTCTTTATTTGGAACACCCGAAAAGTAAATTTTTACAAAATCTGAAGGTCAGCATAAATGTCAACTCATTTTTAACAATCCTCCTACACGTCACCTATTCAAAGTACATACTCGAAACGTTATATCCAAACTGAAACAATGAACGTTAACTTAGACGACACCAATAACATTCCTTCAATAACACTGAAGAGTCGTTTATGTCCTATATAGGACAAGTGGTTATGATAATGAAATTTTCCTGGAAGCGATGAAGGTTAAACAAGGAATGTGTCAACTAATCTCTCTAATTACGGGAATGGGAAAAAGCAAACAGAAGCGATCGAGACATAAAGATCATAAAGAGCATTAGTTAATTGATGTCTAATATACACATCAGTATTACTCGAATTAAGTGCCATTTTTCATCTATTTCTGACTTATGAAACATGGTATATCTTTTAAGTCTATATAAAATTCTCAGTCAGTAGGTGTCTTTCCTTTTCGTAAACAAGGAACGTTAACGTGAAAAAAGTTAATATCGGAAAGATTTCAGTGTTCTTTTGTGCGTCAATGATGTGAGTGATGGACACCTTCAGTTTCGGAATAAACTTTTGGTAAAGTTTAATAAATCTGGCATTTAATTGAAAGGAGTTGTAGATTTAGTTCTTTATGAAAAATTGTTAATTGTTTAAGATTACAAAATTTCCAGTTCGGAAAAGGTAAATCAATAATTAAACATAGAAACTTTCGTAGTTTGTTATCCTGATTGTAGGTTTTAGGTTTATAATGCTTTGTTGGCAATAAGTACAGACTGGATTACAAGCAACATAAAAAGCATGAACACCACACCACAGAGGTGGCTAATATGAAAAATAATATTTTAAAGATATTTCTATAAATTATATTACATAAAAACTACATTACTAAACTTGTAGCTAACATCATACAAAATCTTATCTACTTATGTTATTGCCTATGCATTACTTAACTTTATCTCCCATGAGTTGTTGCTTGTTATAAACAAATTTTTAATTGGTCTACATCCATAATTATTAGCAGAATTTATTAAAATATATGAATCTGTTTCGTTCTTTTTTAGGAATTCTATTAATACAATAACGCTTGGATGCTAAGAAATAAAACTTTTACAAAATTGTTTTTCTAAAACTATTATCGTGCTTTTCGTTTGAGCATTTTCAAAATTTGTATAAACATATTATATTCTGTTAATGTAGTTGTAATTTAAATCCAAAGAAGGTAGATTCATACCAAAGCAGCTGTTAATTTTACATACTAAACATTGTTATAAAGAGTTAAAACCTGTGTGCTCTTTTCATATTTTGATTATAATTTGTCTGTAGTGTAACTAATCCTGGTTGGCTAAACTGTTGTAAAAGTAATTAAAATACGTGGATTCGACATCTTGTTCTTATAGTAATAGTCGAGTAGTTAAAGTCATTAACGGTGGAAAATTTTATTCATGCAGGAACCACAACCAAAGTTTCTCCCCTATGGTTAGAGGCTTTAGCAAGGTTAGATTTTTATAAACGTAAGATGCTGATTGCAAACTTCGACCTTTGTTGTCTTAAATGTTACCACTCGGTTAAAACAGTTTTGACTATTTATAATATTTATTGTTTTGTTTATACATTGTGGGTGATTAATTTTAATCAATTTTATCTGTTTGTGTATTGTACCAAATCACGTTTTGCATGTTCGGAATAAATACCTTGGGACTGTAAAAACTGACGTTGATAACACCCCCAATCATAAAGGCGAAACTTTGGTACTGTTTTTTTTTATAAAAAAAGCTTCTTTAGATATATCAGTTAGATTACATACTTAAGAATAATAAGGCGCCAAGTATAGATGAGATACAGACGGAAATACTAAAATATGCAGAACAAGAGGTTAGAGATCGCATGTTTAAGCTACTTAGTCACATTTACGAGACGGGGAAAGTTCTAGAGGTTTATAAACGGAACGAGATAGTAACCATACGTAAGAAGACATTTAGAGCAATTAGTTTAACTTCCCATGCATAAAAAATCTTAACTAGAACTGTACAGACGAGGATGGAAAGAAGGGCGGAAGGAGTATTAGGGGAAGATCAATTTGGGATTAGAAGAAATAGAGGAACATGGGAGGCCATTCTAGCTTTACGGGTAGCAATAGAGGAAACGATAGAAAAAGGAAAGAGTGCGTACATAGGATTTGTAGATTTAGAGAAAGCTTTTGACAATGTTAAATGGGACAAGATGTTAAATATACTTAAAAATGTAGGGATAAGTTACAAAGATAGAAGAGTGATACTTAGTTTGTATAATGAGCAACAGGCGGTTATAGAGCTAGGGATGCAACGTAGAGAAGTAAATACTAGGAAGGGAGTCAGACAGGGATGCACACTGTCACCGCTACTTTTTAATCTATACATCGAAGACGCGATCAACATCATTAAGGACAGTACAACTATAGGGATAGATCTGCAAGGGCAAAAGATTAGTATGCTTAGATTTGCAGATGATATAGCAGTATTAGCATCTAGCAAGGAGGACTTACAGATAGCTTTAAATAAAATGGAAGCGGTACTGACAGATCAGTACTGTATGAAAATAAATAAAAATAAAACTAAAATACTGGTATGCAAGGGAAGAAAAAGTAGGGAAAGAGCGAATATAAAGATAGGAGAAAAAAAAAGTGGCTGGTTTTAGATATTTAGGAAGTCAGATACGTCAGGATGGAAGAAGTAGTAGGGATATAAAGCAGAGTACAGCGCAAGGTCGCGTCGCCTTTGATAAAAGGAAGTTACTTCTATGCTCGCGAACGGTTAATTTAGAAATTCGAAAAAGATTGTTAAAGGTGTATGTTTGGAGCGCGGCGTTGTACGGGTGCGAAACATGGACGGTGGGCGCGGCGGAAAAGAAAAGGTTAGAAGCCTTCGAAATGTGGTGTTATGGTGCGAGATAGGTTGGTAGGACATCTTCTCAGGCATGAAGGTCTAGTCAGAGACATATTAGAGGTAGAAACAGGAATTAAGAGGGGTAGAGGTACACCTGGGTTAGATTACTGTTCGCAAATAGTTAAGGATGTGGGTTGTTCTAGTTTTAGGGAAATGAGAAGTTTAGCTCAGGATAGGAAAAAGTGGAGGTACGTGTCCAACCAGTCTTAGGACTGACGACCTTATGATGATGATGATGGTCCATTTGAATAGTGCTGCCTGTAATATACTTACTTAGTCTAAACATGACGTGTAGTAGGTACTAAATTGTTTATATTTATCTCAAGTTAGATATAATCGGCGATGTTTGCATTTTCCGCCGATGTAGCTACAGGTTTTTATTGGAGTACACTATTCGGAAACATGTACGTTTTCAATTCACGCACAGACCGGCTTCAGATTGTAAATCGTCCGTATATTTTATCATAAATGGTCTGCTGCGTAGTGATTATCACAAGTTATGTCTAAAAATATTGAAGTTAAAACAGAAAATATTGGATCGATCTCATCAGAGGTTTTAGAAAGAAAAGATTCCAATGTCTTAACATTTTCCAGTCAATGGTGTTGTTCAACAAGAACAACTAATGTTCTCTTAAGAGGTGTAATAATAATAATAAAAAAAATCAGTAATTTTCTAATCGTAATTTAACATAAAGCCCAACTAAATTGGTTTAGGAGGAACATTATTACACGCAGTTGAAAATAATAAAAATTGCAGTAGTTTTCGAAAACTCTTTTATTCAAATGTGAATCAAGTTAAGTATGTAATGTGTCACCTACATCTGCGCAAGAAAGTATATTATCTATTTTAGTTTTAAAATGAGACCAAAAGCTCTGAAAATTATATTTATTCTGTATTATTTCATTTTTCAGAATTGAACATTACCCTACAATGGCCGCAAATCAAGCTAATTTGGGGAATTTTGATGCGCTAACTATTCAGAGTCTTTACATTGCAATTGCACAAAAAGTGTGTATTGAAGAATACGGAATTGGAGCGCTTTCAAATGCTACAGAAAGATTTTTTAACGCAACCCTTAACCGTAAGTACAGCTTTATTTTAGCATAATATAAATCGCAAATAGGGTACAGGCCGGACGAAGGAAGCTGGCGAACGGTCGCGTAGGTACTTCCCCATTTATGACCTATTTGGGTAAGTCACTCGGAACCGATATACAAATAAGCTTTCAGATATTATCTGATGATGATAGTAATACTGAAGAAAGAAGGCTGCAATCATTATATCTAAAACTGCCTACTTTTGCCACCGCGCATCCACGCCATTTTAAAATTTCCGCCAGCTTCCAGCGTCAGACCTGTATGTAAAAGTAGAAATGCTAGAAATTCGTGGTTGAATCCAATTTTTGTAAACATGTAATCGAAAACGTATCTACAAATAATGAAAAACTTTGAAGGAACTGAATATATATTTTATTAAAGTATACATTAGTTTACTTCACTCAAAATAGATCAAAAGAAGTTGTAAGATTGGAAAAATTGATATAGAGTTGAATAAGGGTGATGTTATAATAAAAGCTCCCAATTCTTTTAGGTCAAAAGTTGAAAATATGTGTTCTGCAGATTTCCCTTAAACGATAGTTGTACCGTAAAGATAGTTGTAAATTATATCAATGCCTATACAAATTATATATATAGATACTCTTTACTGCGCATGGGCATTTTTGATATTCATACGCACTCGTTGAACACTTCCGTTACTCTAAATACACTTTATTTACAATAAGGAATAAACATAGATACAATTAACGAAAGAAAAAAGTACTTANATACAGAATACACAAAATACTGTTAAACCGAAACAATTATTTACGAAAAAAAAAAAAAGTGAACGTAGGGAAAAACACAATCTGTATATGTCCGTGTAGGATGACAGCTTAAAATATACAAATACTAATAATAATTCTATAACTAAGATAAAAAAAGAGTCCAGGTATACTTTTCCATATGTATCGGCCTTTTTTCTCACTACCCTAGAAGTAAGCCTTTCATCGCGATAATTCCTTCCAGCACACCTCCACGATTAGTTTTTTCATCATCATCGCCAGTCCTAAGAATGGTTAGACACGCACCTCCACTGTTTCTTATCCTGAGCTAATCTTCGCATTTCCCTAAAGCTAGAACACTCCACTTCCTCAACTATTTGCGAACAGTAATATAATCTAGGTCTGCCTATATTCCTCTTAACTCCTGTTTCTGCCCCTAATATGTCCCCGAAAAGACCTTCATGCCTGGGAAGGAGTCCTACTAATCTACCTCGCCTATTTTTTATTGAATTCCATAGAGTCCCCTATTCGCCTATTCTTTCTAATATCTCTTCGTTTCTAACCTTCCCTATCGACGGTGTGCTCATCATTCGTCTGTAACACCACATTTCAAAAGCTTTTAACCTTTTCTTTTCCGCCGCGCCCACCGTCCATGTTTCTCACCCGTACAAAGCTGCGCTCCAAACGTACACCTTTAATAATCTTATTCGCATTCCTAAATTAATTGTTTGCGAGCATAGAAATGACTTCTTTTTATTGAAGGCAACTCTACCCTGCGCAATCATCTGCTTTATGTCCCTATTACTCCTTCCGTCCTGACTTATCTGACTTCCTAGATACCTAAAATCAGTCACTTCTAATATTTCGTCTCCTATCTTTACATTCGCTATTTCCCTACTTTTCCTTACAAGTATTTTTGTTTTACTTTTATTTATTGTCATAAAATACTGTTTTGTCAATACGGCTTTCATTTTATTTAAAGCTATCTCTAACTCCTCCTTGCTAGATACTAATACTGCTACATCATATGCAAATCTAAGCATACTAATATTTTGCCACTATGTATCTATCCCTACAATTGTACGGTCTTTGATGATGTTAATCGATGTATAAATTAAAAAGTAACGGTGACTGTGTATCCCTGTTTGACTTCCTTCCTAATATTTACTTCTCTACGTTGCTGCCCCATCTCTATATCTGCCTGTTGCTCTTTATACAATCTAGGTATCATTCTTCTATCTCTGTAACTCATCCCTACATCTTTAAGTACATTCTCAAAAGGTTTTTCCTTTATTTCTTCCAAGCCCAAATTGATCTTCGCCTAACAGTTCTTCTGCCTTTTCTTTTCATACTCTTCTGTACAATTCTTATTGTGATTTTTGACGCATGGGAAGTTAAGCTAATTGCTTTAAATGCCTTGCACCTATCGGCGCCCCTCTTTTTAGGTATGGTTACTACCACGTTCCGTTTATAAACCTTTGGAAGTTTTACCGTCTCGTAAATATGACTAACTAGCTTAAAGATACGATCTCTAACCTCTTATCCTGTATGTTTTAGAATTTCCGCCTGTATCCCATCTATACTTGGCGCCTTATTATTCTTCAAGTTTTTCAATGCTACATCGAAATCCTCTTATTATGGGATAACCTAGCTCACCTATCTCCACTCTATAGTATAGGTACTCTAAATATTCTTTTCACCTATCTGCCTTTTATTTTTCATTTCATATTCATCATCATCATCATTTTTGAATCTTCCTGCTTCTTTGGTGCAGGGTTTTTATCGACTGTTGATTCTACAATTGATTCAAACGGCTGCGATAGAAAATCTTGCACCAACAGAAGAAAAACGATCAATACTCTCTACTCACCTAAAACTCGATAGCAAACCGTTAAACGAACCCTTACTTAAAATATATCAGCGAATGTGCCTCAAAATTTTTCGCAATAGCGAATAAAATGTCCAAAAAAGAGATTTAATCGTGTCTATTTTTAAGTTGTTTTTGAGCAATCTGAAATAATTTATAATAAATATTCCAACTTACTGAAGAACAGGACTATTCAAGCAACTTAAAGAGGTGAAAAATGTTTTATTTATCGATAACGCTTTTGGTGTAAAGCTTTTTCAGAGTAAATTATAAGGTTCCTTGTATGATAACGTAGAGTTGCAGAAAAAGTAAAAGGTGCAAGAAGCCTTTGTAGATCACCCAAGCTCACATAAATATATTTTTTTTGTGTTGTCTTTTTGTTACCATGTACTTTTTAATTCGTCAATTTATCATTAATTTATTATTTTAATTGTGATTGTTTACGTTAATTTTAGTTTTAATTCGACGCTCATTATTAACTGTATTTATGTAAGCTTGGGTGGTCTACAATAGTTTTTTGCACCTTTTGCTTTTTCTGCAACTTTAGGTTATCATACAAGTGATGTTAAAATCTACCCTGAGGAAGATTTCCAGCAAAAGCGAAACGTCGGTGTCGATTATTGATAAACAAACACTTTTCACCCCTTTAAGTTGCTTGAATAGTCCCGTTCATTGGTATTAGGGGAAGAATTACGAATATATTACAACTTACCTTTTGGATGTTTTGCGGTAAAGTCTAAAACACGGGAGTTTTTTGATAAAAATCACATTACCCCTAAAAATCGGGAGCACGAAATACGCAATAACAAATTTTCTGCAAATGTAGGTTCATTACAAGAAAAGAATCTGGACTATTTATACCTATATTATCTGAATAGAATATACTTACCTATTTCTTTTACAGTAGTTCTTAGGCTTTCACGGCCGGCGTATATCGATGCGGTGTTTTATTCCGGGCTTTTGGGCCGTGTTCTATGGAATTTTACTTTTCCAAACGTTTCGCCGTTCTTTTCTGATGACATCTGCAGTGGTGACTGGGTAGATGCTGAGTTGTAACTGACCATCACTAACATTTGTAGTCATTACATGTAACAGCTACTTAATCAACGATGATGTGTTACTCACTTCAAGAGTAACTTCAAAAGTCATCCTCAATAAATTTACGATTTAGCTTAGCAGAAATCTAACAGAAATTTATATTATGGTACCCACAAGTGTCTATGTGAATTTTTAGTTTTATTAGTATTTACCAAGGAATTTTCTTTCTTGCAGAAGGTTTTTTTTTGTATTGTGAGTTACAGTTATTTGAGTTAAAGTTGGAAATATTCTATTTCCTGTTGCAAAAATTGACATTTTTCTTTGATCATCCAATTCCTTCCATTCTTAAGAACTTTCAATATACGTCACTATTTCATCTTCGTCGATTAAGTCTTTCAATATTACGTTTATAGACGTTTGAAATATGACGAGCGACACGCATGAGTTCAACAGAAATATTTAATAAGAGTTCCTGCTAAACTGACACACAATGTGTATTTTTCACTTTTCTCGTCCATCAAGAAAAGGAACCGTTTTTTCAAGTCAATCGTCGAGAGCATCTCGGCCTCTGTAAAGCATTTCTAATAAATCATCTGTTAGAGATAAAGGAAAACGCGATCATAATATTTATTTATTAAGTGCCCAATAATCTACACAATTTCCCCTATATAACTTCATTTCTTAAATGAAAGTATTAGGTTAGTGTTTGATGGGTTGATTAGAAATTTGCAAAAATTACGCTTTAAACGGTCATCATAATTGTCAAAGACAAATGTAGGCTGCGTTAAGGAATATTGAAAAAGAGAATAGGTACTGCATATGTTTGTAGATCAAGTTCCGTAACGAGCGAAATTCGTTAGTGATAGCAACTACCAATTAACTCTTATAATAAAAACAGTAACATTATGCGGACGTCAAAATTTTCCTGTTTAAGGTCATATTTTCCCTGGATAAATTAGCATTTCTGAGGAATTTAAATTTAATAATGTTAACCTTCACGCTCTTTTTAGTCACCGTTCTAAACAGGATGAGCAACACCGAATTCATTTGGAAACCAGTGTCAAAAAAAATATTGACTAGGAATTTCAAGATGAGTTTATAAGCATTTTCGTAGATATAATATTTAAAAACACTGTTGACTTAGTTTAGTAATTCCAAAGCTTCTACTACATTAGTCAATGAAACTGCAGACATTACGAGTATTGAACAAATGGTTATGTGCGCCCGCTATGTTGAAAAATTTAAATCAACAACCGCAATCTATAAATTTATTGTTCAGAAAGTTTTCCTGAACGATTGCACACGCCTTAGTTCTGTCAAAAATTGTTTCAAATTTTCTTGAGAAACCTTGCCT